TGGTTAATTTGTCAATAAAACAATGTCATTTTCCAAGTGCCTGGAAGTCAGCAGTAATAGCACCTATATTTAAGACTGGTGATCCTGCTAATGTAACTAACTATAGACCTATCAGTATTCTACCAGTTGTTTCTAAAGTAACTGAAAAGGCCATTTGCAATCAGTTAGTAGAGCATTTAAATCTTGGTCATTTTCCATTACATCGTATGCAGTTTTGATTTAGGGTGCATCACTCTACGGAGACAGCAAATTGTTATTTAGTTGAACAAATTAAATCCAGTCTTGATAGGGGAGGTGTTGTTGGTGATGTCTTCCTTGATTTTAAAAAGGCTTTTGATACGGTTAATCATAATGTTCTTTTATCTAAATTATCAAGGTTTAATTTTTCTATTAATACATTAACATGGATGGAGTCATACTTAAATTTAAGAAAACAATGTACACGAATTAATGATGCATGCTCACCATTTCTTGACTGTAATATTGGAGTCCCACAGGGGTCGATTCTTGGACCAATTTTGTTCAGCTTATACATTAATGATCTGCCTACAGTTTGTCCAGAGGTCCAGGTTCAGATGTATGCAGATGATACAGTTGTTTATACTTATGCTAAAACACAAGAACAAGCTGCTATCAAACTTACTGCTGCATTGAACAAAGTCTCAGATTGGCTATGTCATTCTTGCCTTACTCTTAATGTGAGTAAAACTGTATGCATGCTTACGATTTCTTGACTGTAATATTGGAGTCCCACAGGGGTCGATTCTTGGACCAATTTTGTTCAGCTTATTCATTAATGATCTGCCTACAGTTTGTCCTGAGGTCCAGGTTCAGATGTATGCAGATGATACAGTTGTTTATACTTATGCTAAGACAAAAGAACAAGCTGCTATCAAACTTACTGCTGCACTGAACAAAGTCTCAGATTGGCTATGTCATTCTTGCCTTATTCTTAATGTGAGTAAAACTGTGGGAATGTTTTTTTCGATCAAGAAAGTTGATGAGCGTTGTCCAGATATTTTAGTTGAGGAGAGGTAATAAATATTGTTGAACATTTTAAATATTTGGGTATGATTATGGATTCTAACTTAAATTTTGAAAAACATATTAAAAAGGTCTCTAAAAGTACTAGATGATC